TTAATTCTCTTTCGAGCCTTGCTTTTCCTCCTCCTCCTCCTCCTAAGGGAATTCCAGCTGCTGAGTTGGAGAGCTGCCAGCCCCTCTTCCCTCAACCTATTGGTGGCTAGGACTATAGAGACTGCTGAAGATGCTCCATCCACTTCTCATATCCCTATGCAGTCCTTTTTTCTTTCTACCAAAGCTCTTTAGACTAGCTAGTCTCTTCAACATACCTTTCACCTTTCCAATGGCTAGCGATGAGACCGAGCCATTAGTTTTGGCTGATTCTCTACTAGAAATCTTTGAGAGCTCTTCCACCAGTAGTAAGACTTCCTTACCTCCAATAAACTTGGACAGCTGCCTAGAGCTGCTGACATCCTTTTCGAGGATCCCTTTCAAAGCCTTACAGAGGCCTATAATAAGAAATGGCTTCCTCCAATGCTGCAAGATTGTTGAACAATCCGGCATGATTGTCTCAGGTCATTTGTCTCAGGCAGCAGCCACCATTGATTTCTACATCAACATTTGTCATGCTGCCAAGGCTACAGAAGAGAAATTGGTGAAAGACCAGAGCTTTGTTTCCAAAGTACATACTAAAGTATCAGAGTTAAAAGAACAGCATTCCTCTGTCTCCCAATTTCAAACCCAACTATTAGAGAAGAAAGCTCAACTTGAAAAGGAGCTATCCGCGGTTAACCAGGCCTTAGATCGAACTGTCACAAAATTGCAGATCACCAACCAAGGACTGGCCGACCGAAAGTAGGAAATGACCACAGCCATCCAGTTGTTCTCATCATTTAAGAATAAAACATCTATTGTAAAAGAACAACTGAGACATTGTACTGATTTTTGGGCCAATTTATGACAGAATGTATTCAACTCTTTATGAAAAGAAAATTCTTATTCATCATTTGAATATTCTTATGTTCTTTTACTTAACATTTATTCTATTCCTTGTGTTTCCCATATGGTTGGAAAATAAGGCTTCAAGTATCTGCCATTAATCTTTTTGTGATGTACATATCCATTCAAATTTCTCAAATGGTATGCTCCAAAAGACAGGACTTTATGAACTTGATATGGTCCTTCCCAGTTATGTGACCATTTGCCAAACTTATGGCTTTTAATCCCTATTGGGAGTATTGTCTTCCATACCAAATCACCTTCATCAAAACCAATGTGTTTGACTTTCTTATTATAATTTTTGGCTGCTTTATTCTTTTGGAGAAGAATGCTATTTAATGCCAGAATCCTAACTTCATCTATACTTTCTAACTCCAAGCACATACTCTGATTGTATTGCTCAAGATCTAAATGATCCTGGCATCTCACCCTCAATGACTTAACATTAATTTCCATAGGTAGCACCGCATCATGCCCATATACTAAGGCATAAGGAGTGATCCATGTGCTTGACCTTGGAGAAGTCCTATAAGCCCATAATACATCCAACAATAAGTTATGCCAATCCCTGGGATTATCTTCCACAACTTTTTATATTCCTTTTTTCAAAGACTTATTGGATGATTCAGCTTGACCATTGGCTTGTGCATAATAAGGGACGGAATTAACAAGGCTAATTCCATTTTTCCATCAAATACAGTCCCATTATCAACAGTTATAGTCTGTGGGATACCAAATCTATGGATTAAATCCTTAATGAATCCAATAACTTCAGTCTGGTCTACAGCTTTGTATGGCTTAGCTTCGACCCATTTAGTGAAGTAATCAGTGAAAATGAAACCATGATGCTTCGAAGATGGTGGGTGTATTTTCCCTATCATATCCATGGCCCAACCTCTAAATGACCAAGGCTTCACAATTGCATGCAGGTCAGTTATGGGCACATGCCTTATTATGCCATGCCTTTGGCATGCCTGGCAACCTCTTGCATATTCTATGTAGTCTTTAAGGATAGTTGGCCAATAGTAGGAATGCCTTCGAAGCAACCATCTCATCTTTACACCAGGCTAATAAGCACCACAAATGCCTTCATGAACTTCAGTCATAGCTGTCAATGCTTCTTTTGGGCCTAAACATTCCAACAATAAACCATCTCCCCCCCTTTTCTAGAGAGCATTACCATACATCATGTATTGCATAGACTGCAATTTAATTTTCCTGCTGGTTTTCGAAGATGGGCCAGCTAGATACTGTATTATTGGATGCCTCTAATCTTGTTCTTGTAAGTCATTATGATTGACTTCCAAGACCACATTCCTTTTATTCAAGGGTAGTATTACTTTCTGATATGTTGTTTGGTTTATGTTCCCTTGAGTATTATCCTTTCTCTTGAAATTCGAAGCTTTCTAAGCCACATCATTAGCTTTATTATTCAAGAATCTTGGGACATGAGTTACATTTGCTATTTGAAATTGAGAAAGCAGATGTAATGCAACAACATAGTATGGCAACATGTTTATACTTTGACATTTGAAAATCCGTTTCACCTGGTTAACTACCAATTGAGAATCTCCAAATATGTCAACTGCATGAGCTTGTAATTGTCACGACCCAAACCCGGCCTTATGGGTTTAGCACCGTAACCGGCCAGTAATCCGAGATTACCGAAGGCCTGCAGGACAGTAATACAGTAAAACAGAGTGTAGGGCCTGGCGGAAGCCAAAACAGTAAATAAACAATGCCCAATGAGCTGCGACAATCTATATGAAAAGATTTTTCATACATTTATACGTAAACAGTACAGAACGGTATGCATAATATTTATAATCATTCAGACTAGGGACTCAACCCTAGATAACAGTACGGTAAACATTCAGTCTATACAAAACAGTGAAACAGTACAAAAGGGGGAATTGTAAAACACCCCTAAGCCCTAACACGTTAGGCTCGGAACCTCGCAGTGAGGCACAAAGGCTGGCCTGACAAAACTGGAGTAACCCTGACGCCTCTAGCTTCAATCCGGTGCCTGTACACCTACATATATATATGAGCAGTGAGCTAAAACCCAGTGAATAACATAAAGCGTAAAGGGGTTTAGAATGAATGCC